ACGAACTATTTTAAAATTAAGCATTGTCTTTATTTGCGCAATATGATTTGGATAATTATCGTAGTATTTTTGTTTGCCTTTGTTTAAACTAATAATTTACATGCCCTCAACCTTTAGGGCATCAAAACGCACGCAGTGGTCGTTTTTTATGATTTACAATCTTCAAGTTGGTCGAATAATTCCCATTATGAGGAGCTTATCACAACAAATATATTTGAGGTTGTTTATGTTCTAGACTTGTATGAGAAATATTTCATTGATGAAAGGGTCGAACAGAAGAGAGAGATCATATTTCACTCATGCACTATGGTGTGCGATGCAAAGATTTCGATAATGTACATACAACCTAATCATATCCTCTCTCTCTCTCTCTCTCTCTCTCTCTCTCTCTCTCTTAACAGGAGAAAAAAAAGAAGCTCCTTGTATGAAGTATGGAATTAGAACTTGAGGTTGCCCGTTTCCATTTTGAATGATGGTAAAAAGATTGAACATCCATCCCTTTGTCAACAATGTAAAAGCTTAAGAACTAAGTAACACACCTCTCTACTGACTACCTAAGGACACAACCAATAATACACAAATACTTGACACAATCCTATGCACTCATAATATTATCAACTCTATCATCCCCCCTCAAGTTCATGTTGCGAACTCCCAAGCGTGAGATTGGAGCAATTTCTAGTAAACTGAGGAGAACACAAGCCTTTAGTAAACATCATGCTTGCATACTGATTTGCAAATGGAACAAACTGCAAAAGAACTGTCCCTTGTTGAACTCTTTCAAGAACAAAGTGACAATCAATCTCAATGTGCGTTGCTTTGGAGTGCAGTATTGGATTAGTGGCAACAGCCATAGCCCAGATATTATCACAATAATAAAGAACTGGAACAGTAGGACATGAATATGCAAATCCCTGAGAAGTTGTTGAATCCGTATAACCTCAGTTGTAGTTGTAGCCATTGCCCTATATTTAGCTTCAGTCGAAGATCTACTCATTGTATGTTGTTTTTTAGAGCTCCAAGAGATAGGACTATCACCAAGAAAAATAACAAAACCAGTAGTTGAACGTCGATCATTGGGATGCCCTGCCCAATCAACATTTGTGTATGCTTTCAACTGAGATGAACCTGATTTAAAACACAACCCCAAATGCATGGTACCTTTGAGATATCTCAAAATACGTTTCATAGCAACAAAATGAGTGTCTAATGGTGAGTGCATAAACCCACACACTTGATTGACTGAGAAAGAAATGTCCGGTCTTGTAAAGATGAGGTACTGCAAAGCCCTTACAATTGAGTGCATAAACTGACACACTTGATTGACTGAGAAAGAAATGTCCGGTCTTGTAAAGGTGAGGTACTGCAAAGCCCCTACAATACTTCTGTAAGCACTAGGATCAGAAATAGGTTCACTACCATGATTCAAAAGCTTTTGGTTAGGATGACAAGGTGTAAGGCAAGGTTTACAATCCATCATGTTCATCTTTTGTAGCAAGTCTTTGACATACTTTGCCTGATGAACAAAGAGACCCGAGATCGATACTCAATCTGTAAACCAAGAAAAAATGCAAGAGACCCAGATCCTTTATTTCAAACTCTCTAGTTAATTGAATAATAACATTTTGCACTTTACATAGCCTACGTGGCATGTATTTTATTATAGTGGACCCGCATCTTCATGTGGTCTATTGATGGAGTAGATCCTATATAATGCTAGGAAAAAGGACCGGGTTCGATGAAGCCCATCTTTATATATGTTTATTAGGTATAGTTAGAGGATACTCTATAACAAAAGCCAAAGGAAAAAAGTTTTGTGAAATTGATGTCAAATATCTTCAAGGTGGTGGCCACTGTGGACCCAAAACCCTAGCTAGCTTGTCCTCCACATCCATTTAACGTAACCAAATGGAGTCTTTAATTATATCACAACTCAGAAGCTATCCAAGCTAAACTCCTGTACTCACCATGTGGTGCGCGGGATCCATCTGGATTAGGCCTGGCAAACGGGTCGTGTCTATCGTGTTCGTGTCGTTTTCGTGTAACACCTGTTATCTTAACGGGTCGTGTCGTGTCACACCCGTTATCTTAACGGGTCCTTAACAGGTCGTGTCACTTTACCCAACGGGTAAAGTGACCCGACCCGTTATGACCCATTAAGAAAAAAATATATTTTTTTTAAATTTGCACATACCACACATTGCCACATAAATATTACTTCAAAACATTAAAACATTTCTCATTCAAGTACTATATCTACACTCAAAAATAAAAGCCTAATAAAAAAAATAATACATACACTACTAATCTATTACAAATATTAAATGTGCAAGGATAAAGAGTTTTTGTTTTTAAGATAAGATTTTGTGGTATTCACTTGTGTAAATATTTTAAATTGAAGATCGAATTCATTCATTGTATTCATATAGGGTCAAGGAGTGTAGTTACAAAAAATCATCAAAATCGGAGTTAAAATAACCGTTAAATCGTGATTTTTCATTTATAACCGTTGAAAAGCTTTGTCCCGTTACTTGATCTCTGAATGTTTTTTTTTTTTGTGATTTTTTGCTGATATGATCTCCAAGCATATACAAACAATTTTGACGGTTTGGATCGTTGAAATTAGTTTTCGAGAATTCGTAAAACGATAGATTGACTAACACTTAGAGTTTATTTATACTTTCATTAAGTATAACATAAGATTTTGTGGTATCCACTTGTGTAAATATTTTAAATTGAAGATCGAATTCATTCATTGTATTCATATAGGGTCAAGGAGTGTAGTTATAAAAAATCATCAAAATCAGAGTTAAAATAACCGTTAAATCGTGATTTTTCGTTTATAACCGTTGAAAAGCTTTGCCCCGTTACTTGATCTCTAAATGTTTTTTTTTTTTGTGATTTTTTGCTGATGTGATCTCCAAGCATATATAAACAATTTTGACGGTTTGGATCATTGAAATTAGTTTTGGAGAATTAGTAAAACGATAGATTGACTAACACTTAGAGTTTATTTATACTTTTATTAAGTATAACATAAGATTTTGTGGTATTCACTTTTGTAAATATTTTAAATTGAAGATCGAATTCATTCATTGTATTCATATAGGGTCAAGGAGTGTAGTTATAAAAAATCATCAAAATCGGAGTTAAAATAACCGTTAAATCATGATTTTTCGTTTATAACCATTGAAAAGCTTTGTCCCGTTACTTGATCTCTAAATGTTTTTTTTTTTTTGTGATTTTTGGCTGATGTGATCTCCAAGCATATACAAACAATTTTGACGGTTTGGATCGTTGAAATTAGTTTTGGAGAATTCGTAAAACGATAGATTGACTAACACTTAGAGTTTATTTATACTTTTATTAAGTATAACATAAGATTTTGTGGTATTCACTTGTGTAAATATTTTAAATCGAAGATCGAATTCATTCATTGTATTCATATAGGGTCAAGGAGTGTAGTTATAAAAAATCATCAAAATCGGAGTTAAAATAACCGTTAAATCGTGATTTTTCGTTTATAACTGTTGAAAAGCTTTGTCCCGTTACTTGATCTCTGAATGTTTTTTTTTTGTGAGTTTTTGTTGATATGATCTCCAAGCATATACAAACAATTTTGACGGTTTGGATCGTTGAAATTAGTTTTGGAGAATTCGTAAAACGATAGATTGACTAACACTTAGAGTTTATTTATACTTTCATTAAGTATAACATAAGATTTTGTGGTATCCACTTGTGTAAATATTTTAAATTGAAGATCGAATTCATTCATTGTATTCATTTAGGGTCAATGAGTGTAGTTATAAAAAATCATCAAAATTGGAGTTAAAATAACCATTAAATCGTGATTTTTCGTTTATAACCATTGAAAAGCTTTGTCCCGTTACTTGATCTCTGAATGTTTTTTTTTGTGATTTTTTGCTGATGTGATCTCCAAGCATATACAAACAATTTTGATGGTTTGGATCGTTGAAATTAATTTTGGAGAATTCGTAAAACGATAGATTGACTAACACTTAGAGTTTATTTATACTTTCATTAAGTATAACATAAGATTTTGTGGTATCCACTTGTGTAAATATTTTAAATTGAAGATTAAATTCATTTATTGTATTCATATAGGGTCAAGGAGTGTAGTTATAAAAAATCATCAAAATCGGAGTTAAAATAACCGTTAAATAGTGAGATATGTCATGACAGTCATGTGTGTGATAAAAAGTTAATAACTTAAAAAAAAAAAAAAAATTTCTCACCACTTCTATTAATTTTCATTTTTCCCTCTCTTTTTTGTTACCTTTTCAACTTTTTCTTATCATTTTCATTTTTCCCTCCAACATCTTTCTCTAATTCCCTCACTTTTTTGTTTTATTTTCAACTTTTCTTAACATCTTCATTTTCCCTCCATTTTTTTTTTTTTCAAAAAGGGCGGCAAGTTGGCAAATGGCAATGTCAAAAAATTGATTATTGAAATTTGAATGGAAACAAATCACATCTGACGCATCAAATTTCAATAGATGCAAAATCATGCAAATATGCAATGCATGATCATGCATATTAAATTATTAATTATTAATTATTATAGTTTTTATAAAATTTAATATATATATATATATATATATATAATTATTATAGATAGACTTAATATTTTGGGGGTATAATTATTATAGTATATATAATTATTATAATTATTATAAATTTTATAGTTAATTTAATATATATATATATATTTTATTTATTATAATTTTTAGGGTATAAAATTGTAAAATTAATGTATATAATTATTACAGTATTTTTTAGGGTTATAAAATTATACAAATAATATTCTGCTTATCGTGTATCGTGTTACCCACGTGTATACCCGAACCAACCCATTATCTTAACAGGTGCTTATCGGGTTACCCGATAATACCAGATTCGTTATCGTGTCGACCCAAACACCTGTTAATTTCGTGTCGTGTCGGGTTATCGAGTCATGTCAGAAATTGCCAGGCCTAATCTGGATGCTTCATCGTGGTCGTTGGTTGAGATCGTGCGGCCATGGATTTTTTTTTTTTTACTGCTCTTCGCACCATCTTCTTCCTCATTCCTTTTCGTACTGACATCGACCTCTCTTCCTCTTTGTGCCGACATTGACGGATGGTCCAGCCACGAAAGCATCGGGCGTTGCGTTGTATTGGGCAAGGCGGATGGGGACAGGGACAAATACACCGTTATTTTTGTTTTGGAGTTTTCTGAAGGGTAGGGGAATTGTTTTTTGCGATTTGGGGTTTGGGATTCGGAAGTTTCTAGGGGCGAGGTAGAGGCTAGAGTAGGTCTATTTGCGGCTGCCGGCGGATTTGTTGAAGACGGAACTGCCGATTTTAGGGATAAACATGTCGTCTTCGAAGCAGTGAGTGGGTGGGATTGGGATGAGGAGTTTAAAAAATTTAATATCTGGCCACACGATCTCAACGAACAGCCGGATTGGGATGAGGAGTTTAAAAAATTTAATATCTGGCCACACGATCTCAACGAACAGCCAGGATGAAAGGTCAGGATGGATCCCAAGGATAGATTCGAAAAGGATCTGTATTTTGGTGTGCGCTCTATTCTTCCCTTATATTTAAGACCTGGATTTGGAGCAACCTAACATTCTCTGTTATGTAGACTGTTTTTTCATTCATTCTGTTAAGAAGAAGATTTTTTTTTTTTTTTTTTAACAAAAGCGATATCGATTTCATTACTAACCAAGAATAATTATGTTAATGCATGGTCATTTTATACACATTAAAATAACAAATAATTGTTATGGGCCTAATAGATGGGCCTGATGAGAGCTAGCGACCCAAAAACAGTAAACAAAGCACTACCACATCAACCACTCTTGACCTTGGATAGTCTACTGACAAGAAGGAACAAGCGTAGAACTTAAAGTACTTTTTGACTACTCAAGATAGTTGGCATGTCTAACAACTTTCTGGCATAGAGTTCTAATGACAGGTTTGTGCAAACATCAACTCCGGATCACGTGGATCCCTATCTGACCCAGTCCCACTCTTGTGGATCACTGTTGGATGAAAGACCGGTTGACCAGGGATTAGATCACCGTTGGATGGAAGACTTCTTAGCCAAGGACTAGATCACCATTGGATAAGAGACCTTTTGGCATGTGATGGGCCACCTCTTCTAAGTGGTCAGCTTTCTAGTAGTCGTCTCTCTTGTGGCCAGCTCTTCATGGTTATCTCTCTAGCTATCGACTCTAGTGGTTATCTTTCTAGCTATCGACTCTAGTGGTTAGCTCTCTATAAGACCACTTGTGATGAACACTTCCTCCAAGTGGTGAGCACTCCGGATGACCACCTCTTCTTAGCTCTCTACCGGATGACCACTTCTCCCAAGAGCTCTAAGGATGACCATTTCACTTGAGTGCTCTACGGAAGACCACTTCTCCCGAGTTCTCTACGGACGACCATCTCTCCCAAGTGCTTTATGGACGTCTGCCTCTTCCGAGTGCTTTACGGACGACAGCCTCTCTCGAGTGCTTTCTACGAATCACCACCATTAAATGAAAACACTAGATATTTATTAGTTTGTAGAGATTTTTTGGGATTTATATATCTATTAATCGGTAACTTTTATGCCTGACAGCTTCAATCCTTTTGATTCCCACGTATAGTTTGAATTCTATGGATCCCCATTTGATCGCGATGTTGATCTCCTCGGCAATGTATGCCCGTCCACCTACTTTCTTTATATATTTTCAACATTCAAAATCAAACGCTCCTCTATTATTTCTACTAATATGCAGGTTTATTGGGATATTTGTGCAGGTTATTCAATCATGGTGTGTCATGGGATGCTTGGGTCCCTATATTGTTAGCTGAGTAATTTTATCGAATTGGTGGTCTTAAACATGTACGGGCAGTAATTGGATAATTATTGTATACAAAACAATTTCATACAAAGTCAACATCATCAAGTATATTTCAAATATGAAGGTATGATAGGAGTGGTGAGTAGAATTTGTTGAAAAACCGCACACTAGATCTTGTTCATTAATGTAACCAACGACAATAGACTAAAACTTAGCAAAAGAGTGAAAACTAGAAAACACACAAGACTTATACTAGTTCGGTATAACTTTTGCCTACGTCCAGTTGTCATTTCTCTGGGTAAAGAAATCACCGCTCCTTTGATTAATAATAGAGATTATAGAACTTTTGCAAACCCTAGAACTAATCTCTCTCACTTGTCTCAACTGTCACAATTTTTCCTCTCTAAAATTTAATCCTTGCCCCACCCTATTTATAGGCATAGGGTGCAGTTTACATGTCATTTACAGATTGTAATTCCTATTCTAAGTGGAATAGGAAATTAGACTTCCTTTCCAATTCCAAATAGACTTCTAGGATTTCTAATCTAAATTGAATAAGGAAACTAAGATTCTTTCCTAGCCCTTTTAGGAGAAGAATCGGTGCACCTTTTTTTTCCCTAAAACAATCATAAACAGAAAATGACACTAATTGACGAGCCAAAACCTAACAATCTCCACCTTGGTGAGTCAAACCAAGTCTTGATCATTTGCACCCCCAAAGTATCTTTGAACCTTCTTGAAGCAGCTCTAGAAATCTTCAAGAGTCTTTACCTTGGCAATCTTCTTCTTGCCTCATCGCACCTCAAGTGAGGAGGTGCTCCACTTTAATCAATCAACGAGATTGATCAAGTTCAAGCAATGCTTGAACTTCTTGACCAGCACTATCTTTGTAAAGAAATCTGCAGCATTATCATCCATATGAATCATTTCAATCCAAATTTCCTTAGACTCCTCCAAATCTCTGATTATGTGATACCTTGCTTCAATGTGCTTTGACCTTCCAGAAAAAAACCTGATTCTTTGCCAAGTGAATAACACTTTGACTATCACATTTCAGCTTCACACAATCTTGAGTGATTCCCATTTGACTTACCAGGCCACTAAGCTAAATTTCTTCCTTTCTAGCTTAGGCCAAAGCAATATACTCTACCTTTGTGGTCAACAAAGCTATAATTGGTTGCAGTAGTGCCCTCCAACTGATTAGTCCTCTTGCGTATGTAAACACATAACCAGAAGTTGACCTTCTCTTGTCCAAGTCCCTTGTATAATCGGCATCCAGATATCCTAACACCCCTGCATTTTCTTTTTGCTTCTCAAACATAATCCTTTGTTGCCAAAAACCCTTCAAATTACGCAAAATCCACTTCACTGCATCCTAATGTTGATTTCCTGGATTTGCCATATATCTAGAAAAAACACTGATTGCTTGAGCTATGTCAGGACGTGTGCATACCATTCCATACATGAGGCAACCCACAACATTAGCATAAGGCACCTTCTTCATTACTTGTTGTTCTTCCTCGGACGTAGGAGACTGTTGCTCACTTAACCTGAAGTGAGCTACCAAAGGAGTCAAAACTACTTTGCTTCTTACATGTTGAACTTCCCAAGAACCTTCTGAATATACTTGGCTTGTGATATCAAATTCTTCCAGTGGTCCTATCTCTCTGAATTTCCATGCCAAGGATTTTTTGTGCAGCACCCTAGTGAAGGATAAAATTTTGTCCTAGCTAAGAACATGTAAAAACATTTGAACACAAAAGAAAACTATTAACACTTTAAAGTAGGCATGCATTCAAAAATAATTCTAAAACCCATGACTTTCAAATCGCAGTGAATGGTGAACCACAAGACTCTAACAACATTAAAGAGAAGAAAGGATTTTGAGATTCATTACCCTTGAAGCTCATCCTTGTTTACACAAGGGATTCACCCAAGTGGAGGGCCTTCCTCCTAGCTCCTTAGATCTTCCTTGTGATTTTCTTCCCTTTTGATACTCCTTTGCTCCTTGAGGATGTGAGGAAAGGAACTCCAAAAATACCAAAAGTTTGGTACCTCTAAGTCTCCACACCAAGGATGATGGTGTGAAGATGAAATGGATTACCTAGAGGAAGTTGGATGCTAGCAAACTCCCCTAGGAAGGCCGGCCTCTATAAAGAAAAAGGTGAAAAAGTTTCTCTTCTTTGCCTCAAGAAAACCCTAGTGAGAGAATGGCTATAAAGATGTCTTTATACCACCTCACTTGTGAGTGGCAAACTTGCAATTAACCCAAGTTTTCTACCACTCACCCTATGGCCAGTTTTGACTTTGTATTTGGGTTAATTTCCATTTAGTTTTAGTTGTCACACAACTTAAACTCAATGGGCCTTGTGGACCAAAACCCTTTTGGGCCTCGAAATCCAAAACCAACTTGAAAGCCAAATACCAACCTTTCGTAAGATTAACTAACTAATTAACTAATGTTGACCGTTCTCAATTAAACTATTTAATTTCTTGTCCATCTCATTTATATCTTCACATTCATCCTTACTTGATATACGATCCATTAGGCTCTAATTAGCGGGGCAGTGGGCGATTGCTACTCTTAACGATCGATTATGAATTGAAACAACATTTCAATTCTCCCTTTGATGAAGATTAGTGTTTGCTAATTCTCAGGGCTTCCACAAACCATGAGTGACACCTAGCAGTATGTCTTGGCTACCCAAGCTAATTAGAAGGTTGGAGAACCTATCCAGTGACAATTACAATGCAATACGGTCATTTTCTAATACAATACTCTTAATCACATTGTTTGAGTGATAGTTTGTTTCATGTCTACTATCTAATGTAATACTTCTCTATATGATTCAATTGAATATGATTTGGAACAAACTTCCTAAGTCATATTCGTATGCTTTGGACATAGACTCCCAAATCATATCTCAAATGCATTCTCCCTCTTCCATGGAAGGTTAGAGATCCCTTGTTGTGCATTCATATGCCTACATGACTAGATAGCTTGACCCCAACAATGTCGTGGATACTCTAGATGGAATGCCTTTGACATGATCAAAGATCGAGGACCTAACCATTAGACATCTATGATGCCTCAAGTCAAAGGATTACTTTGCATATTGCAACTTACGAGCTCTTACATGACATGCATGTTCGAACTCTTTTTTTATCGTAGTTCAGTGTACTCAATTACCATTTTGAGCACATATGTGTTTGTCTCAGTGTCCAACACTAAATGACTTTAGACTAGTCATACTCACGCTTGAGTTAACGTAACACATACTAACCTTAGCGGATTTTCAATGCCCAATTGGCAATCCTATGGCTAGGAACATTTTAGGAATCAACATAAATGAAAGGTCTTGTTAATCTAACTTACTTAGATCACTTCTCTCTTAGATTAAATACATTCCTTTGATTCCCTTATTGCTTAAACACATAATACAATAAATAGTGATTAGCAATAAGCTTTACCCTTCATTAAACATACAATAGTTTAATGATAGGATTAAAAGCACACCACAAAGTAGCACACAAATGTTCTATTGATTTTCCTTATTAACACTAAGATTTGTCAATTGTAGCATATGAAAATAAGGGTCTTTCTGATACACCTTGATCTAAATCAAGGCATGCTAGTCGTCACGTGATGGTGACATAACCATGTGCGTAGTGTGGAAGTGATAGTGATATAAAGATGTGAGAAATCAACAACCAATTAACTAATGCACACAAGAAAAGTAAATAAGTGCACGAAGAAGTGTTAGAGTGTAGATACACAGAATCAGAGCGTAGGTGCCAAGGTGCAGTCTAGCAGGCTAAATACTAATTATACATGGCATGATAGAAAACCCTACATTGATGGATGTCTGTCAGAATTGTTGTAGAGTCCTCATGAGTCACCAACACACACTTCTATATAGAACCTGGAAGGGCGCAAAACAGAAAACATGAGTAGGGCAAAAACAAAGCTTTTCAAAACCATTTCTCTTTCCAAAAGTAATAACCCTTCATCGTAAAACCCGTATAGTTTCCCAGAAAATAAAAATACATACGTATATAAAAATCACGCTCGAGAGTAGTGAAAATCAAAAATATGCCATGTCAAGTGTCCTTGTATGGAAATAAGTAAGCTAGGTGAAATAAATCAATGTAAAATAATATGCCAGCTGGAGTCACCTAACGTGACCTGTACAGATGAACCTATAGCTTATCAGATATGCATGCACATGAGTCGAAACCACCTATTATGGTCTGTACGACAGGGCTGGGTGCAAATAAGTATGCTCAAGTGCTACGATCTCGTGAAGGCTATGCGAATAATCGTGGGTCACCTATGAGTCAGAACCACCTAATGTGATATGTACGACAGGGTTGTGCACCAAACTTGGATCCAAGGTGAGCAGTGCGGTGCGGAAGGTGAACATCACGTGAAGGACTGTGCCCTGGCCACGGGCGGGAACACTAGCACCGGGGTGCAGGATAGTGAGCTCTAAATGCATCTACGTATCACCACAACCAATGCATCCACTATCATCAATATACTTACCTGAAGCTTACCTGGGCATCCGCAACATCAAGCAACAATATGCATATCCATACGAATGCATACTCTAAAGCATAATGCAATTGACGTGGCATTTAAAATCGTAACTCCATTTAAAACAGATTTCTGGGAAAACGCAAAGCATATATATGCATATATAGAAAACCAAAAGCCCACTCATTGGTATGTATCGTAACCCCCGAGTCTCGCCTGATTGCACTTGTCCTTCGGAAACATCTCACCTATATGTGAAACCACTATTTTAAAATTAATTTTAAGTACATAACCAAAACCGTGTAATAACTTATCATACGTTGCTCAATTGGGGCATTTGAATATACCATTGTTGCCTACTCAACACCAGAAGCATTCCCATATTTTCAGAATAATTTTTTGACGTTCCACGCGCCCTCACGCACGCCAAGGCACATCAACACAAGCCAGCCACGCGGAGGCACGTGCCTGGCACACTGACGAAATCTTTAACGCCGTTAGGGAATATTCCGTTAAATAGCAGCATATACCATTAACTTTACCTGACGCCATTAGTATATTCCTTCAAAGTTGACGGAATATTCCCTTCCTTCTCCGGTGGTTCGTCGGATTTCGGCACCGATTGTCGGTGCATCGCCGGAAACTGAAAAAAATCTTTAAACCTTAATATCTTCCTCGTTTTTCAACCAAATTTTACAAACCTTATATCAATTTGAAGCTCTGAATGAGTAGAACATGTTCTTACCTTTTGGAGTCCTAAAACCGACGAGAAGTTGTCGGCAAATTCCTTGAAATTCCGGCAAAACGTGGAAGCCCACATTCGAGCTTATTTCAATGTTCAAACTTAACCAAAAATAGTCTAATAACTTTCTAAGTCTCAAAAACAAGTAAAACCTCGACGACCACGTCGAGGAAATAGGGTACTCCGTCGGAGCTTCTAAGTTCTGGGGTCCCTGTGAACTGTTCTTCGTCCCAAAAGTGTCACTAGACTCGTGGAGTCTCAAGGAATATGATGGTGACCTCCAATCGTTTGATCCGCGGGTTATTAATGGTGTTTGAAGGCTGGAGGAATCGGATCATACTGACGGAAGGAATTTTTGAGAGAGAGA